ATGATGTTTTACAGTGCTATATTTAGTTTCGACCTAAATGCCCCAAGTGTCCACTTGTCTCTTGGGAAATTATTTCACAGCTCAATGCACTTGTGTCAAGGAGAATTCCCTACAGTTTAGTCTGACTTTATCTTTAACGACAAGTGGAGTTTCCACTTTACGCTGGGTAAAAAAAAAGCACACACACACACATACTGAACTTCCTGCAGTAGTTCAATTTGATTCAAGTGGTAACATAACTGTTCAATATAAATCTCAGTCATATCTGCTTCCCAAGTCTTTGCTATTCCCAGTTACCCTGAAGCATCTAGCTCTTTGGAATTATTGTTCTGCCATCTCAAATATCAAACACATTTCCCTTGTTATAAACACAAGAGAAACACAGCTCAATAAATTGGGCATATCTTCCTGCCGACTTACATTCCCAGGAGATCCTTGATGCCTGGTTTCATATTTACAGGACCATTTGGAAGATTCCCTTCAACCAGCTGATTATGTTAAGAATAGGCTGGGCTTAAAAAACAAACCTTCACAGATTTGGTATTGATTTTATTTAAAACTTCAAACATTATTTTGGCTCCATGAAAAAGGGTAAGTAAASAGTATTCTGGATAAACATTCTTGGGAATATTTTTTTCAAATTCTTCCAAGTTAGCAAACCACTACTCTGCAGGTTTATTCCTCTACAGCTGGTTTGCATCTATCCCTTAGGGCATGACTCAGACAAGAGTGTGTGTGGGGTGCTGCCATATAGACTTGGTTCCTGTCCATGAACATGTTCCTGCTGTGCCCACAGCTGCATGGGCACTGCTGAGCATTGACAGGTTTCAGTGCGAGGCTCAACCTTCACCATAATGTTGGCTGGAGGGGTTGGAGTGACCAAAGAAAATGTTGCTTCCCAGTGCTTGCAGGACCCAGGGGATGGGGAGGAGCCCATAAACTTTGATTATGTAGAGGATAGTAAGTGGGAAAAGGACTTGTGGGAAGAAGAGGGTTGTGGCCTCTGTAAAGAACAGAGGCCATATGGAGAACAGGCTCAGAATTTGCCTCTCAGTCCCATCTCCAGCCTACAGCTGTTTTACTCATTTTGACTTCATCTTCAGCATTGAAACTGCAATTAAGTGAAAGGAATTTTTCCAAGATCCCTCTGTGATAATCTCTGATAAAATAACTCAAAAAAGTGATCTCTTTTTACCAGCAGTTCATGATGATGATGTGGCAATCTTCCACTTCAGAATGAATGATGGTTTGGAAATGGCAAATGATTTTTCTCTCTGCACTTTGCATTGCACAGCAAACATGGAAAAAGTTCCTGCAGAGCACTGGGGAGAACAGATCAGTGTTTCTCATTTACCACTCTAGGTGCTAACAGTGATTAGGAATTTTCTGGTAACTCACGAAAAGTGGATGAAAATATTGATCTGGATTGCAATTTTGGAAGACTGTATATATATGTGTGTGTATATATATATACACACATTTTTATATGTATGTTTTCTCATAGAAATCAGGGKTTTTTTTTAGGATCCGTGGTGAAGAGCTGGTCTCCACACACTGGGAGGAGCCCTGAGGAGCAATGGCAGGTAGAGGAACCTGATCACACTCAGRCCCATATCATGGCCCCCAAATGCTCCTCTTTGCGCCCGGTGGTGTTGARGGCATATAAAGTCCATCCCCAGCTGGGGGGCTCCAAACCCCCTTGGAAGGAAGGCCCCAGCTGCCCCCCAGGGCATCCCAGAGGCACCCAGCCCCAGGCTGGGGGCAGCCACCACAATGGAGAGGCTTTTCAGAACTGTCTGGACAAGGCTATCCCCATGGGAACAGCCCTTAGCACAGGGTGTGGGAGAGCAATATAGGTGCCAGGTATATTATAGGATTCTTGGGCGGGGTGGAAATAGAGAAATGGGTCAAGATTGGTCAGGAGGATCTAGAGTGGGAAAGCAGAGAGCTGAGAGAAGAAAAGGGACTGATGGAGTGTCACAAGGGCTGGTGGGTGTCCATGCCCGGCCATGGCTGTACCTGATCCCCACCTGCTGCCCTGAGTCTTCATTGCAGCCTTGTCTGGTTTTTTTCCTGGGCGAAGAGTGTGCCTCTGTGTGTGTGTGTGTGTGTGTGTGTGTGTGTGACTCCAGTGTCCGCAACCAGCAGCTGCTGCACTGTGGCCTCAGGGCCACACACAGCATCTGGGGACACTGGGTCACTTCTTACAACATGGATGGAGTGTCCAGGGACAGCTACTGTAAGAATCCACCCTGTGTTTTTATATATAAACAAACAAATGTATCTTTTCCTACTAATATATCTTCCTCCTGACCAACCAGAGAGGGAGATAGGACAAAGATGTTGGTGCTGGGACTAAAAATTGAGGTTTTTTACTCTGTGACCATTTTGTGCCTACATGTGTATGCTGCATATGTGTGTGCTTTATGTGTGTGCTTCCTGGGAATACAGTCCAACTGCTGGATGGACCTTTGGGCACAGAGTTGTGTCAGCCTCACCTCCAATGCATGGACAGATTTCGCAGCCCTAACAGGTTTTGTTTTCAGTTCTCTTTTATGAAATGCCATACCTCTCTATTCACTTGATTTGCTGGGATCAAGTGATATTAAAACTAGTTGTTAATTTTTACATCTATTTGCAGTCCAGGATAAATTATTTTTGTGGTGTTTTTCCTGGTGGTCTTATTGAGTCACAGTGCCAAACACAAGTGAATTTAGGGCAATTAAAAAGTGACCGTAAGATATCTTTTTCCATAGATAAAAAACATGTGGACAGGCAAAAACCATCTCCTGATAATAACAAAATATTTGACTATCTCAGCAGGGACAAGGATGTCAAGAGACTGAATTTGTTTCATCAGAGCTACTCAATTTTTAATCATACAGAACTGTCCAACCTAAAAAGCTGAAACTGGTCATGCATGCCCATGATCTGCACCCTATAAGAATAACTCTGCAGTGTGGCTCTTCTGATTAACACATTACCACTGAATGTGTGCAGTTTCCTCTGCTGTCTTCCACATAAATTACATTTCCTTAATTTTAGGTGTGTGTTGTTGTGAAGGGGGAAGGAGAGTCCTTTTATGTTAAAATAGTCCTTGAGTAACTGACTCTGTGTATTCTCTAGCTTGGCTTTTACTACAGGCTGTCATGCCTAAACCCAAAGTCCTGTCACTCATCTTGCCTGYAGCACTTGTAAAGCTAGCAGCTGGCAGTAGCTCTGCACCTGCAGTCTCCCTGCTTATAACCCCCTTTCACACTATCAAGACCAACATTTTCTAAGACCAAGAAAGAAATTCTTCCCATTGCCATATTTGCACCTTAGAAGCACAGAATTGCAGAATGGTAGACGGTGGAAGTGAAGTATAGAGATCATCTAGTCCCAACCTCCCCTACTCAAGCAGGGACCCCTAGAGCATGTTGCACCCAGGTAGGTCTTGAATATCTCCAAAGAAGGATAACAATATAATATTACACATAATGAATATGATGTGGAGGTGGGTGCGGAAATGACATGGCGGAGTCATCATAATGGGAATGAAATGGTGAGTAGGGAGGGTCAGGTAGAGGGTTGGGTGGAGGGGAAGGGATGGGATGTTAGAGGACTGGATAGAGAGGAGGGCCAAGGGCGGGTAGGCAGAGTAGGGGGTGGAAGGTAGGGGTTAGGGTGGCAGGTGGGGATAATTTAGAGCAGAGGGAAGGGTGGAAGGCAGCAGGTGGGGATAATTTAGAGCAGAGGGAAGGGTGGAAGGCAGCAGGTGGGTAAAGGGGAACCTCAGTATCTGCTGTGTTTTATCTTTGAATACAGGAATAAGCTTATAATCTCACCTGTAAATTATTACATAAAGATGTACCACAGCTAAATAAGCTGTTCTGGAAACAGAATAATAAATTCTGGAAAATAAGGCATTGGTTGTTATGCTTTTTATGGTGACAAAATGACAACCAGCTTCCTACTTTACCTGGCACCTTTAGGAGAGAGGAAAGAAGTAGTAGGAAATACGAAATCACATCATTTTTCTTTTGTTGTTGTGGTTAACTGATTCTGCTATTTGTTTGCTGCTCAGTCTTGTTCTTCTGAGGAGTCCTGCTGAGATAACAGCACTTGATAACTTTGATAATAGTGGAGTTGGGGACAAATCTGGGAGTTTGCCTTCAACACAGTCTGGGTTTCACAAAGTACTGAGCAGTAGCCTCCTAAAATTAACTCCTTATCTCATCATCTCAAATTTGAGCCCTCCTTCCCCCAACCAAATCACATTAGAAAATCTTACTATTTTGCATAACTGCATTCTGTTTCAATGCCCGTTTACATGACAAAGTAATTTGTATTCCATTTTTGTGTCTTAAATCTAGCTACAATCTATGGCAGCAAAAAGCATCAGAACAAAGTGGTTTCATTTTGTCTTTTCAGAGGGTGTTTGTGGTTTTGAAGAGAACACAYAATAAACTATTTTTCTGTCTTTCCACCCCCACCAAAAACCAAACAAAGAAAAGCCAAATGCAATAGTTTTTCCTGCTTTAGGCAGGGTTGATATAGTCAATATCTCCTTTTCATGAGGTCAGTATTTCCAGGTGGCGAATCAATAACTACCCTCAATGAGATAGAGTTTTGAAATGAATCCTCCTGCCCTCTCAGAAGTTCAGTCTCCATGGGAACTCCAGCACTTCCTGGAGCCATGTGTGGTACCTGCACAGGTAATGTGGTACTTGCACTGGCATRGGCAGCAGACACTAATGGTGGCAGCAGGTGCTGGCTCTTCTTATCTCGCTAGCTAGGTGTCTTTTTTTCCCACCTAAACCTCCAGCTCTCAGGATGAGGAAGTGGCCACCAAAGTGAAAAACCAGAAGTACCTCCCTTCTGCTCCTTACCCCTCCCCTCGGCCGCGGAGCCTGATGGCTCTCCCAGATGCAGCATGTGTGAAGCTGCAAGCATTGCTACCTTGAAAGGTTCCTCCTGGTCTTTAAGTGTCAAACCCATATGCTGCCTTGCTGCAGACCATGGCATCTACGTTGGAGAAGTTTATTCATTCTTTGGATCCCAGAGCCCTTCCAAGGGTCCTCCAAATCCAGTCAGGAATCTATTTCCAAGGTGAGTTTTGGTTGCTTGTTGGCAAGGCTTTGACATTAGGGCCATCTTAAGACAGGGATGAGGGTGACGCAGAGGGACGGTCCTGCTGATCTGGTGTCCCAGCATCTTCCCACCAGCTGGAAAACTCTTTTGAAGAAAGAAATGCAGTGATCAGTGGCTTTGGAGGTGTCTTTTCTATGGAGTAGACCTTGTCTTCTCATAAGTAGAGAGGAGAGCAGGCTTGCCTGTAACTGCAGACAGTCCTCATTGTATCCTGGAAAGAGTCCTTGAATGAGTCATGAACCAGCTTTACGCTTGCACGGAGCTGTCAGTCTAGCAATCTACCATCATCTCACAGAGATTAATTGATTAAACCTAGCATTGGTCTTCTGCGATTGGCAAGGAACAATTCTCTGCCTCAGAAATAGAGAAGCTGAGAGGCTGGAATATGACTTGAGGGACAAAAAGAAAAAGCATTTCCATGGATTTAAAAGGATGCTTCTCAGGTGCAAAAATGTGAAGGGATGTGTATTAGCCAGACACAAGCATCATAGGGACAATATTTTGCTGGATTTGCCTGTCTGTCTCCATGAGATTGTTTTAAGCCATTTTTTATTGTTGAATTCTGCTTACATATAAAGCACAATGAGAGGATAGGAAAGAAGTTTGCACTGGAGGGAAAAATTGTTCAGGGCATGGGTTCCATCAAATGACAGTAAAAATGCCATGTGGTGTTCAATTAAGTCCATATATCAATCTAGAAAACAAACAAAAAAAAAGTTATTTGCTCTCTTCTGCAGCTCAGTGGCTTGCAGAGAGGGTAGGCAGAGCCTCACACAAATAAAGTCCCTAGAGGGAGTATGCAGTGAAAAGTTGCATGTTACAAATTCCTACCAGAGACTAGATAAAACAGAGGGGGCTTTATGAAATGAGAGGGAGCTATATCTTCTTCAGSATCCATAGTATCTGCCTTTATGCTAATCTAAAATTCTCACACTTCTCTGTAGTAGAAGGAGACGGTATATGGCCACCATTAGTTGTGACCATGGAAAATGTGAGCTGCAACCTCTGAGCTTACCTGTGGTTGGGGTGGGTGGATTCTTTCCCTTCAGCACCCACAAAAAGAGTTCCCCTTGGGAGGGAAGGGAAAAAGACAATGACARGAAATCTAGGCTGCTATCATACAATAGTGTGTTGTCCATTTTCTGCCCACTGCTTGTCCTAGCCACTTTAAAAAGCGCCCAGGACTTATGAATCTTGCTGATGTACAAAATGGCATTCTGGGAAACAAACCAGACCAAAATTATCACAGACTTCTGAAAATATGATTTTCTGCCCATTCCTCATTTTGAAATGTGGCTTGCTCGTATTTTTCATTTTTAAAAGTGCCAAGAACTTGATTTTGACATAAAATAAATTAAAATCTTGATAAGAAGATTACTCCAAAAGTGAGGAAGAATAGAATTTATTTCACCAAAATGCGAGAAGAAAACTTCCTGGAGCTGGAGTAGCACCACATTTGTCTCTTTCCACACACGCATGCAATATAAGTTGTGTATGGATATACACATGAAAACAAAATGCCTTCAGAAATTCATGTTAGCCCAGCTTTTAGCAGGTTGCATATCCAGGGTCACTTCAGTTTGTATCCTGCTGCTAATGGGCAATGAAGCTTTGTCTTGGGAGTGGGAGCATTGCAATATGTACTTCAGTTTACTGCGTGGGCACATGTTGCAGTGGAGATCAAGAACGCAGGTGAGGCACCAGCGAAGGATATGGCGCATTGTGTGACAGCCTCTTCTCATTTCCTCTGTGAGAAAAGGGCTATTGCTGAGAGCTGCCTGTTGTAAAAGTGCCCTGCAGCCTTTGAAGGGGTTGTAGTGTGCCATGCGGACCCAGAAATGTTTGCACTGAAAGCTAGGCCCCTTGTGGAGCTCTGTTGATTCTTAAATCTTTGACAGCACCAACTCTTTTGCCCTCTGCTCCAGAGGTTTCTGCTCTATTTTACTTTCACACTTTTCAAACAGCAAGCTACATGCAATGTTAAAATGTCTCTGGATATTTCTTGCTTGTACTGTGAGCAAGTCACTGATAGGGAAGAGCTCCTTGGCTCCCTCCTCTAACAAAAGGCACATCGTTAGGTACTTAGAGTGATGTTCACTAATAGACAAGTGCTGTTTCCGCTCTCCTCCTCTTTGCTATAGTGCAAGTTTGAGTTGCTCTCTGCCTGAAACGTTTGCAGGATCTAGGGCTACAACTTGGGCCTTTCTCTCGCTCCCCATGGGCTGTCAGGCTGAGGAGGATCTGTTCTGGGCGCTTTGCCTCCCTTCACTCCTTCCAGCAGGAGCGAACACAGCGTTCTGTGATTGCGTTATGATTTATGTTGCCTATCTTGAAGGGAGTGTAGCACTTCGGAGAGAGTGAGAAGTAACTCCTGTTATATTGCTAAGTGGGAGAGYGCACCACTTTGTACAGGTTGAATTTCCATTAGGACAACCTTCCTTTAGTCCTTCCTTCAACAGTTTTTTTGGTTTTTTTTTCTCACCTTAACAACCTTTTGGATTTCTCTTATCACAGTCCATATACCAGCAATGACATGGGGGATAATGGCAGGTCTATTGACAGGGAACGTGGGTTTATTGCTGTGATTGTAGGGATCAAATCAGAGCATTTGTGCACTGATTTCTTTAGCTGCCAGCCTGCTATGGAGTCAGTCTGGATAGCTGATTCCTGTTTGAATTATCTGTTTTATGCAGCTGGATTTCAGAGGATTCTTAGTAGAACATGCAGATAGCAAGGGAAGAATGATATTTTTATGGTATTACAGTGCTGAGTTTGATCAATCACAGGCAAGGAATAAGCTTCTAAGGGTAAAAATGTAAAATAATGAGAACCTTCACATAGGGATTTTTACGTGTGTTTTCCTCTCCACACCCCAGTAAAATCATGGAGTCTCTTAATGTCAGATTGATTGGCTACATAGTGGCAAATGGAATAAACAAATAACTTCTAAATCAATAGAGCTGTCAAATCAAAGCTGTAGCAACAAACCGATGAAGATTGTGGTCTTCTTACTGTATCTATCTTACTGTAGTCTTATGAGGCACAATGATGTGATGAACCTTCCTTTAATCAGTCTGGAAGCAACATTTTGTTTAAACTGCTTTTAGTTCTAAATGTTTCTGCAAATATATGACTTGCAAATTAGTCTCCCTGCTCTTGAGAGAATTTCATTAGCTCTTGAAGCACAAGGAGAGCATAATGCCATGGAACTTCATAAGGATCGTTGCATTTTTTTCTCTGTAGGGATGTCCATTAGAAGCTGCCCAGTTAGGCTCCACGCTGAGAGTGGGGATTTGCTTGCCCTGGTGGAAAATAAGTTGGAAATGTGTGCTGTTTTGCATCCATTCCACCAATAATTTCTCTGTTGGCCTATACAAACTTATGTTTCTGCTATTGTCAAAAAGGTTATGATACATTTAACTGTAGCTGCCAAATRAAAGCATTAGACTAGACTATATAGACCCTGTTTCATTTCAAAGTATTTTATACTAGAGAGGCTAAGGGTGATTGAACTGGTGATAAAGTCTGAGATCTAGCCACCTCTCTGAGGAACAGTCCTTTCCTGTGTTCATGGCTTGAAACACAAGGCCTGCTTTCCTTGAGATGATAGCAGCTGTGAAATCACAGCATTTTTCATGCTGTGCCTGAGCTTTGAGGTGAAGTGCTACCCAGTTTGCCTCAGGTTCMATAGCCAAGGTCTGAGGAGCATGGGTACGTCCCATGTTCACAGACCCATTTGCTCCACTAGCATGCGGCCACATAGGCAGAGCTCCAGCCTRGAGTCACTGTCTACAACTGTTTGTGACTTGATGCACAAGACTGAAAGCAAAAATAGCAGTTGCCTTACATGCCTTATCTCTTTAAAATGAACATGTTGGGGCTTTACAGTAATAGCCTTGAGTCCTTTTAAAGAATTTTTCTTTCATCACATCACACTCTGAGGGTCAAAGAGAAGTGGAGAAATTGGCTTTRTCCCCTGTTGGGAAGCAGGAGGACGAGTGAAAGGAAAGGGTGGTTCTGCCAAGCCCAGGGATGTCACTCCAGGCAGTTGTTTCAGGCTGTGCATTTCACCTTTTTTTTGTCACAACATTCATTGATGCAGAAGCTGGGTAGCTGGATCACTGAAGGAAACAGAAAGCCTGATTATAAAATGAAAGCAAGTTTGCCAGATACAAATGTCTTGGTAATCAGCACTGATTAGAGAGGAACTACGGTACAGGCTGAAGTACAAGACAACTTAATAGTTCATTAAAATATGTTATTAGAAAATTAAACTCCTCAAACTCCATTGGAAACTGATTTGATTGATTGAATGCCTTTCTTTGAATAATTTAGTAAATATTGATGCTTAGTGAGCTGAGTACTATATCGCCACTGTTTTTTGCCGATAGCGTGCAAGTTCGGGCTTTCATCTTATGTTGCAAAAATTACGTCTGTTTTAATACTGATATATTTATTCTATGGGTAATTGAATTTAATATTCTGCAGGCTTAATTTAACCAGTGGTAGGATAGTAAAAAGTGCCAAACTTTAATTGTGAAAAATGTGCAGCTGATCAAGGCAACTACTCTGTTGGTGTTTCTGTCACTGGCCATATCCTCTGTGTGAGACCTTGCCACTTTCGCTCTGCCTAGCTATAGATCCCACATTGCCTTGTTTTATTCCCCAGAAGTGAGATGTACACATCAATGATGGGATTAGGACCCCAAGAACTGGGATTTGCCGCAGTACAAAGTAGCTCCTCGGTGCAGTTGAGCTGTTCAAAAGCAGCRTGTGTGTTGTGCAAGCCCCAGTGCCAGAATGGCTCCTCTTTACCGCTGACCTGTGAGTCTGGTCAGGAAGCTTTATGCAGTCCACTTTTTTTAGGGGCAGAAGGACTTTTTAAGCTGGCAAGCACCAGCACTGGAGATTGGGAGTTCAGTGAAGAAGCAGGCTGTAAAAGTAGTGCTGCTCTCTGG